GAGCAATGAGAGAATCACCATAGACAGAGTGGGGAGCAGAACAGGCAGATGGATGAAGTACACTGTTGAGGGTTCAGGAGAGGTGTGCTGTGCCATGTGGGTCTCTTCCCTGGCCAGGGATTGAACTCATGCTGAAGTAGCTTTAGCTTCTTAGTGCTGTACTTCAACCCACTGAGCCACCATGGAGGGCCTTGATATCTATGTTTTTATTCTTGTTCTACTCATTCTTTTATGAAGACTTCAGTTAAATCAGTAATGTTTTCCAGAGTACACTGACACTTCCAACCAGCTGTACAAATCCAGTGATTTTATATAAAATTGCTGGCGACTTGAGAAGCATCTTTTCTCAGTAATTTTGCAGTCCATAGGAACAATATTCTTTGGTAAGAAGCATTTCAAAAGGTACTCCTAGAATGAATGCATCTATTTTTTATTCCAGGTCTTCTCTTTTTCACTGAACTATTCTTTATATTATATATTAGAATGCTAAATGACATTTTCTAAACAAAATTTGACTTCATACAATTCACTAAGTCAATATGACTTTTGCACAGGCAGGGGTTTCTAACTCACTTTTAGTTAATCTAATAGCATCCTTTGGTGATAACCTCCCATAATTTAAAGAGAAAATTTGGCTCATTAAAAATGATTTTGCTAGCCCTCCCTGGTGGCGCAGTGGGTTAGTTAAAGCACTGCACTAAGTAGTTTAAGCCACTTCCACATGAGTTCAGTTCCCGCCTGCCCGCCCCAGAGGAGATCCACATGGCGCGGCAGACCTCTCCTGACCCGCCCGCTGCTCCCCTCAGCAGTGTACTTCGTAGATCAGCCTGTTCTGCTCCCCACTCTGTCTCTGGTGAATCCTCTCACCCTCCACATCTCTGGCCTGTACCCCAGTTCTGTATGAATAAATAAATCTTTAAAAAAAATGATCTTGCTAACATTTCACATTGTTATCAGCTGTTTCAATTTTCCTAAATGTATATGTGTTCTTCTAAAAAAAAAAATATGGCATTATTGTCATTAATATATTCCTTTCAAGTCATTTGATTTATCATTTTAAGTCTATTTTTAATACTTTGTATATTAAAGATCACAAGATATGCAGCTTGTATAGCATAACTCTGCAACTGTATGCATAGTTTTTTTTTTTCTATTTGCATTCCTTCCTAAAATACTTCCCACCATTATAAAAGTTCTGTAAATGAAACAAAGTGATAACAATATGGAACTATATGATTGGAAAATAAAAGCTACTAACAGTAGGTAATGCCTCACTATAATTGTGGTATCTTTTTAGATACTTTATTAGTTTGTGTGCCATTTACATTAGCAAGTTGTAATATAAAACATTTTTTATAACTTGCAAGAATTTTCTTGCAGCCTTCAATTTATTCAATATTAAGCAACTGTATGTTATGCAGTCACTCATATTTTGTTATTAAAAGTAACACTAAATTTAATATGTAAGGTTATGGTGTTTGGACACATCTCTGATTATTTTCACAAGGCGAATTTTAATAAGGTTACTGAATCATTGAATTACTTTCTTTGAATTTTTTGTGCATATTGCCAAAAAATTGTTACTCCAAATTTAAGTTCTTTTATTCTCTTATAAGCACTGTGCAGCAACTGTCCAGTTTGTAGTTCAAAATAAGTGAACTCTTCTGCCCATCAGTTCTTATTTTTATTATTGTTGACAAATCAATCAAGCAACTTTTGTTTTCAATTTGCTATATTGTATGCGCTGTTTTTAGGTTATAAATTCAGTGATGTAAATTGAATGACATAAACTCTTATTATTTAAGAAATCTTTCATCTGAATCTGAGCTCAAGAGAACAAAAATGTGGGAATTATGCTTTCTCTTCTCTTTCCTCCCACTCACCCTAAAAAATATTATAAAATTCAAGACTGGTTTTATACTTTTCTTATTGGAATATCTCTTGTTAAATGTATGATAATATTCTTATATAGCTGTAATAATGATTTAGGAATAGAACATCAAAAGCAAGGTGAGGTGGCTACTCTAGGCAAGTATATTGGTTAAATAAATCTAAAAAGATATCTCTATAACTTAGAGCCTAAAGAAAGGACAGATGAAGTGGTAATAGAAAGGTGTTCCAGAGTTAGTGGGAAACATTGTTTTTCATGTCTTTTGGGGACACAGATTGTTTGTTATTCTTTGACTCAAAAAGGAATGATAGGTTCATTGAAAGATTCCATCCCAAGAAGCAATAACAATGATGATTGTTAGAAGAAAGAAATGAAAATTTTGAAAACAAAACTATTAAAGTCATACAGTGACTAAGTAAGTAGTTCTTTGTGATAGGATTTGATTATATCTTTCTACAGGCTTATAAATTGCCCTGTTACTGTTTCGTGGATTTTGGTAAAAAACCTGAGACTTGCAAGTTAGTGACAAATAGTTTTATTAATCAGAGTAAAGTAAGCATTGTGAGCTTCATATTGGAATTGTTGCCTCATCTTCCAAGTCCCAAAGGGGTGATGGTCCTGATCAATGTTACCCTTAACATTGGTTTGTATCATGACTGAGGAACAGTCAGCTTGGGGAATACAGTCTTCTGTAGCAAGCAGTAAGCAAGCCTATTCTGTGTCTTCAAGGGAGACATTATCTTATTCCACAGTTTGCTACAAATACATCCCTGAGAAATGGCCCCTGTCAAAAGTAGTCAGAGCTTTGTATTTTCAGCATGTTTAGTAAAATATGTAGGAATATCAGAGACCCAGACCCAAGGAGGGACTATTCTTTCCAACACTCATCACTCATTAGCCTCTAAAGATATTCATGTATTCAGCAAGATAAATAAAGTTTCAAAGACTGAGGGATTAGATTCAACCTGAGCAGATTCTTGATGTTCTATACATAAAGTTTCAAATATTTTCTCTGCCAGCAGATACCTTCAACATTGTAACTATTGAGTCAGTATTATCCTTTGGATAGGTTGTAGAACTATTTACAAAAGAGAGAAAAGATAGATGGATGGGTTAGGCAGCGTGGTATTATCTGAAAACCAATTATTTTATTTCCTCTCAGCCTGTTATGTGTTAATGAATGAGTAAAAGAGCCTTTTCTTGGAACATTGCACTGTTATAAATTATACTGGCTTAAGGCACACATCTTTTGGGGGTAAATACTCCTGAAATGGATTGATCTTATTTCATTCATGCTTTTTTTCATGTGTGCTAATTCCTTGACTAATAGTATAACTTGTTTATGATCATCTTAAATAAGCGGGAGGCATAATGAAACGTGAATGAAATGTGTTCTTGTTAGTTAGACATTCCTGATAACCGCTCACCTGTCCTTTACTCCGGTTATGATTTATTTTTTGGTATCTGAAAGGCACACCCTAGAAGCCTGTTACGAGCGAGAGGAGTGCCAGGAGCTGTTTTCAGCTTTGGACTCTGCCATGTGGTGACTTGGGGACTGTTGGAAACTCATTTAGTATCACTTAACATTTGAGTTATTATTTTACATAGAAGAACTAGGGTGTAGATCAGAATTACAGGGGGTGAGAGGATTCACCAGAGACAGAGTAGGGAGTAGAACAGGAGGATTGACTGAAATACACTATTGGCGAGAGCAGTGGGCGAGACAGGAGAGCTCTGCCTTGACCTATGTGGGTTAGCTCCTGTCTTGGGATGGAACTCAGGCCAGTAGGGGTGACAGTGCTGAGACTTACCCTTCGGCCACCAGGGAGATCCATCATTTGGGTTTTAAAGAGTTTCTGAAATCAAGTGTGAAATGACTATTAATGTTCATTCTAAACTAGAAAGCATTATACAGATATTTATTGAGCGAGAATTGTGTAAACTTATGCTTTTGTCTATTAAATGAGACTGCAGAATATGTTCCCTCACAGTGTTGAGATCATAATATAGCTTCTAATATCACAACATATTTTATTTTACTCACAATATTTGGGAAAAAAACATTTAAAAAGTCCCTATAATTTCCGTCTCTTGAAGGCTGCATTCACATGGCTCATTCTGTTGTGTAACCATGATGAAAATTCTAAATTCTTCCTTCTGTACTAAGTTTAAAATGATGGATTCAGTAAAAACTGTATTCTCATTTTTAGTTTTGACAACAATAGCAATACTACTGGAAAACACAGGAATAGGTTGTTAAAGGGAAAATGTTTGGCATTACATAGTAAAGCTTACATGGAAGAGGGTATAAGAGAAGTTAAGAAATGGTAGAAAATATTTACAGAATATTATATGTGTTTGTGTCTGTACACAATATAGGTGCTAATAAAATCTTTATTGCTCAATGGTTTGTTGAAAATGTTATCATTAATAACTGCAAAGAAGAGATGATGCTATAACACAACACTTTTTCTTAATAAATAAAATTCTTTCTTTCTTTTGATTTATTGACAGTAGCTTCAAAATAGTATTCTTGCCTTTTTAATATCTACTCCATATTTGATTAGCCCACTTGAGTGATTAATTGGTAATGATGGAAATTGTGAACCATAAAATATTCAAGCTGGAATATTTTAAGGTTCATATATTATAGTGAAGAAGGAATATAAACTTATAGAATTTAAACTTTAGTTAACAATTGGACTGTAGTTTAGGTTCTTTTTTTTTTTTAAAGACTTATTTATTTATGTATACAGAACTGGGTTACAGGCCAGAGGTGCTGGGTTGGTGAGAGGATTCACCAGAGACAGAAAGAGGGTTGCTTAACAGTAAGAACAGAACACTGTTGACAGGAACAGCAGGCAGACAGAAGTCTGCTGAGTCATGTGCCTCAGCTCCCTTGGTGGAGGGGTGCCTGCCTGGCAACTGTGGGCCAGTTTCATAGCAGCTTCTTAGTGCTGTGCTTTAACCCCTGTGCCACTTGGGAGGGCCCTAGTTTAGATTCTTCAGATCATTTCTCCATTTCTTTTTGGGAAAGGTGATACTGAACTGTATTAGAACTTAGAATTTTGCAAATATTTTAAATCAATAACATCTCATTCTCTTTTAGGTTGTTATTAGGAGTAAAAGTGGAGAGATCTTGTATCGTATTTCACCGTGGGCGAAGTATGTGACTCGTGAAGGTGGTAATGTGAATTATGACTGGATGCACTGGGATCCAGAGCATTTGTATAAAGTGAGAACAACTGAGCTTTAAATAAACACTTGCTCCAATACTTCTGGGAAAATTAAGTTTTTGTTTTGTAACTATAATAATGTTCAAATCCTCCCTTCATTATACCCATTATTCTATACATGTATCCGAGTGGCCATCATCTGTAACCAATAAAATGAAAAGGATGTTTTGTTTTATCATGTGTTTCTGAGGTTAAGGGTGAGAGGGGAAATAAGACTACATGTCTACATACTGACATGTAAAGTTTACTGACTATTTTTTATCCACAGTGTCGAATCTGTCAGAGACTTCTCAGTGATACAATATTTCTCACTGTCGTGAATTTGAAGCAGGATTACTGTTTTTAGAAACACAGCAGGAGGAGGAATCTCATGAATGCATTAATTATAGTAATTTTTATGGCTATCTTATTGATAACATTAGTAGTATCCTTAAACTCATTTTCTGCCCTTTAATTTATTGAAGCAGATTAATAAATGCTTCCCTTTAAAAATTATTCATGCATCTCATAGCTCTTGCATTTTCTCTGGGTCTTATACTCAACATATAATATATATCACTCAGTGGTAAGATAAATCATTACTTACATGATCACACTTTTTGTTGAGGTAACCTGGGTTTACTGCAGAAATCTGTGATTTAAGGGAATAGGTTCATACTTCCTCAAAGGAATGGTTTGGTTTCTTTTTTAAAGTAGGTGCATCTTTGTAATCCTAAGTATTAAAAATAATAATAATGGAGGTAGCCAGTGCTTTTTACATGTGAAAATAGTTTCAAAGTGTTACAACTGATTTATTATTTAATCTAATGTGTTCAATGTGTATCATACCTGCATTTCTGATCTAATTCTTATATTATTTTGCATTTTGCAGTTTAAGCATTCCAGACCAAAAAAGCCCAAAAGTCTAAGAATTTATGAATCTCATGTGGGGATTTCTTCCCATGAAGGGAAAATTGCTTCTTACAAACATTTTACATGCAATGTACTACCCAGAATCAAAGACCTTGGTAAGTAATCGTTGTGATTTTTATTCAGATAAAATTTTAATGAGTCTGTTCTCTTATTAGAAAAGCTAATTACAAGTGTCTCTCTTTTTGTGTGTGTGTGTGTTAAGAGATTAAATATGTAATAGAAATGCATTTTATTTTAGGCTTCTCAAATTGCCCTGCAATAGTGATAGCATAGAAAAGAGAAATGGACTAAGATAGAGTATAAGAATTTAAGATATTATTCCAATTTCAATTTTAAGTAATGTGAGCTGATGGCTTCTAAAAGTGTAGATAAATATGTAAGCATAATTACTTTTCTACACAGAGAACTTTTATCAATTTAGTTGGTCATTGATTATAGCCTGTTCATTTTAGTTTGGAAAAGTCTTAGACTTTTTTTTTTTAGAAGAAAAAAAAGTCTAATATTTATAAGATGACTGACTCATTTTATATCAGAGTCCTTGTATCTCTGACTTATTTATCAAATATTCATGATGTGTCTTCTTCTGTGTGAGGTACATTGTCCTTGATGTTTGTGTATGGGACTCTTGAGGCCCAGACCTTGTCTTCATGGAAGTGAAAGTACATTGAATCACTGATTCAGAATGCTGTAAATCATGTTACTTTTCTTTTTTACCAGAGCATATCAGTGCCTGCCCTAAGAACTAGGCAGAAAGATAAAGTGCACTTAGTTTGTTTGTAGGTTATCCAAATTTTGGGCAAAAGAAAGTTTTGAAGCTCCTTGTTATGCTTTCTAGCTGAGGTTGTATCTTGGTTATCGATGAAAGTAAGGTTAACTTTTACAAACCAAAATTAAATATATATATGAATGGATAATATATATATATATATATATATATGAATGGACAATTTAATATTATATTTAATATATATTATGTTAAATTGTTATACTTGAGATGTTATCATGTTATATTGTATAAATTGTTTATGACCCAGTTTCTAGCAAAGACTAAACAGAACAAGAATTATTTTAATTGTCTTTGTGTTTGAATTGTGTTGCCCATTACTTGGAACATATATGAGTTCAGGAATGATTATTTCCTTACATTTAATAAAAAGTATAAATTGGTCCTTGATCATAGAAATAATGTTTATTATATGAGGAAAACTAAACTTTAGTTTGTTATAAATATGTGATGATTTGTATTATCTGAGCATTAGCTTATGTACATACTAATGTCAGGGTTTGTAGTTAATTTGATTTCTGTCATAATAAAAAAGCCAACAGTAATAACTTTTAAGAAATTTATGAGTCATGTAGTTTAGGTTATCCTTTAAACTCTGGATCTTTAATTCTCAGTATGAATATGTAATTGTTCTGCTATATTGACATGAATTGGACCTTTAGAAGTAGTAAGTGTATTGCACTCACGTGTATGTGTGTATAAATAACAGAAATAAAGCTTTTGACTCAATCAAATTGTGTGAACATTTTACCAAGCTATACTGGAAAAAAGAAATAACCTGATTTTTAAAATTTGTTTTGAAACCTAAAGTTTCCTTTTCTCTATTTGCTTATATTAAAAATGCATTAGTGTTACTGTTAATAGATTTAGGAAACTACAATACCTACCTTTTCAGATCACTATATTTAGTGTTGGAGAAAAACATTTCAGAGAGAGAAAGGAAGTTGTGTATGCATGCACAGAGTCATTCTCATATGGAGCTTTGGCATAATGTTTTAGGTGCAAAAAGTAACGGAAAATAGAGCCATTAAAGCTGGTCCTGTAAAAGTTTCCTGTGGGTAAATGGATTTGGTGCTATACCTTATATCATAGAAATAACTGAAATATAAAGAAAAAAGGAATAAAAAAGTATATGACATGCAATCATTTACTTTTATTTAACTTTCATAATCTTCACAATGAATTTTGCAAGTGCAACTGAAGTTTAGCATATGCAGATTGCCATCTTTAATATTCTAAAGCCAAATTAAGAGTATATTTGCATATCATTTATTACTTGTTGAAATGAAGTGATTTCAAATAGCTAGTCAGAGATTAACTCTTACAGACCAACTGATTTTGTGTTAAAAGGTGAGAAACGCAGAAGATACTTAAAGAGCTTTGCAAAATGATCCAACCTTCTCAATTTTTTGCAAACTTTAATGTCTCTAGAACAAGGATGTTGTGTTCATATATATTATTTCTTTTTATTTAATGTGGTTTTTAATCTCTTTATGCCCTTTGCTCAAATAGGATATAACTGCATTCAGTTGATGGCAATCATGGAGCATGCTTACTATGCCAGTTTTGGGTACCAAATCACAAGCTTTTTTGCAGCTTCAAGGTAAAATGAAATGTGATTTAGGGCCCTCTCTGGTGGCACAAGGGGATAGAGCACAACATTGTGAGACTGATCTACAGCCACTGCAGCACAAATTTGATTCCTGGTCAGGGAGCTGACCCACATGGCACAGCAGACCTCTCTTGTCTCGCCCACAGCTCCCCTCAGCAGTATATTTAATCAGTCTGCCTGTTCTGTTCCCTCTGTCTCTGGTGAATCTTCTCACACCTTGCACCTCTGGCCTGTACCCTAGCATTTGTATGAATAAATAAATCTTAACAAAATATGATTTATATCCATCCTTATTTTGGCCAAACTTCAAAAGCCTCATATTGTCCATATGACCCAATGTGATCTGGATCTTAGTTGACTTTCTGGGCTGATCTCTTCCTCAGTCATTCTACTTCTGCCACTCCAGTGTATTTGCTGTTCTTTAAATGTTCCTAGCTCATTTCTGTCCCCAGTGTCTTGTCTTTCTGAACACTTTTTCACCTTAGATATTTGCATGCCTTGCTTTTTACTTCTTAAAGGCCCTTGTATTTAAATATTCAAATTTTTCCTGATGAGTCTACTGTAACTTTGTTTTATTTTTCTTTAGAGAATTTATTTTTCTCTGACATTCTACATATTTTTGCTTATTTATCTCTCAACTTGAACATAAATTCCATAAAGCAGGGATTGATTTTTGTTCACTTCTGAAACCCTGGAATACTGAAAATTCCATGGCACATATTCAGTAGCTTAAGTGGGGTGTTGAAATAATGAGTGAATAAATGACACTTTCAGGTTTTAGTTTTTAAACATGTTGTTCAATGAGTAGATAAAATGGTAGGTTTGTTGATGGCAGAGGAGAGGAAGATGTAGATTGTTATAATTTTGATGCTCTGTACGAAGCCAAGTTAGCATGCTAAGTCATTAAGTCATAATAAGGTCAGTGGTCTTTATCCTAAGGGCAGTGGATTGAATGCTTGATTTTAGGTAGGGGATGACATGATCACATTTAAATATCTATAAGATAGCTCCTCCTGTCCAATAGTGCTGGCTGTCAGATTTGCTATATTGCTAGCATTCTACTCTATTATGGGAAACAAGATGGTCAATTTCTCAAGGAATATGTAGTTTAGTGAGGAAGAAAGACACTAAAGGATGCATCACAAAGATGATTATTAAAGTGAAAGTTGATGGTAACAAAGATGTAGTATTGAGATTTTTGTTTTCTGCCATTCAGATCTGAGAACTCTGTTTGCCACAGCACATATGCATGTAAGATACCCATCGTTTCTGATAGCATACGTGTACATGGCACTGGTTCCTGGGAGATTTTCCATTAGATAATAAGTAAATGAGGAAGGATGGCCTCACTTAAGCTACTAAGAGCATCCAGTCAACTACTCTATGATATTCTCCCAACCCAACCACAGCCACTGTAAAGAATGTCCAGGATAACCTGCTTCCCTGGGCTGGCTGGCTTGGTGATGAAAATCAGAAACTCTGATCATAGAGAAGCAGAGGTGTATAATAGACCCTTCGACCCTTCCTCTAAAATGTGAATTTGTGTGGAGATAAAAATCTGCATCTCACAGTCTGACTGGAAATTAATTTTTTTTCATATTAAGCAGTTTTGACTTTGTCTAAATACTCTATCATGCTGTAATCTATTGTATTGATACATTCAAAAAGTATAGTACTATGTGGGAAAATAATATACAGTCGATAACTGGTGTTTTGTTTTAAATGTGGCATAATCTTGTTTTTGCTGTGTTTTCTCTAGTCGTTATGGTACTCCAGAAGAGCTGAAGGAACTGGTCGATACAGCTCACTCAATGGGTATTACAGTTCTTTTGGATGTGGTACATAGTCATGCTTCAAAAAATTCAGAAGATGGATTGAATATGTTTGATGGTACAGATTCCTGTTATTTTCATTCTGGACCTAGAGGGAATCATGATCTTTGGGACAGTAGATTGTTTGCCTACTCCAGGTAGGTACATATATATGGAGAGAAATCATTATAATTTCATTTGTTAAAAACTAAGTTTAAGGAAGTTCACTAATCTCATTATTTATTCTCTCCCTGGTGATTAATTTTTTAATGTGAGTTTTTAAAATTTCACGAGGAATTGTTCAGCATACATACAGAATTCACTTTGCTTTATATAAAATGTATTTGTGATAAGTTGCACTAAATTTTAATCTTGTAAATCTAATAGCATTTAAAATATATTGACTTGTGGATAGTTAAAAGGGTTCTGATGAATGTTTTTAATATCTAAAATTAGCTTTAGCAGATCTCCTTTTTTAGAGAAACACACTTTCAAATAGGTTATTTAAAAAAAGCATACTTCATATTTTGCTATTTTAATAATATTCCCATGTTTTGGCCTGTGACTAAAATTATTATTTATATAATGATAACTAATGTTTATTAGTAATTGCCACATAGGGTACCAAGTATTTTAGATGTATTAGTTACATATTTTGTTTTATACGTTTTGCATTGCAATTCCATTTACACAGGTTAAGTATTGTTGTTGTTGTTGTTTTACGGCCATCATACAGTTAATAAACTAAGGCACAGGGCTAGAACAATTTTTTTAAGATTAAACACACTTCTGACTTTTTTTACCATCTAAATAGAAGAATGTTTTAGATGACTAAATCTCAACATAACATAGTAAGTTATGGTAACATTTTTTTAGAAATCTAAAGTACTCTCAGCTGATATCCATTATGTATCATAATTGAAAATATTGTCAAACACATTAAAAGTAGTAGAGTTTCAAGCAATCTCTACATATTTTTCATAATTTTTTTTGAAAAGCTTAACTTTCTTTTGGATATCACATCATCCAAACAAGTCTTGAAAACAGGCAGTGTAGAAAATGCTATAACAAGTACTTTGATAAAATGAACAATTCTAATTTTCAATACAAATTAAATGAAGAAAAGTTTTCTTTCATTCTTTCCTTCATATGATACCTTATTTTATATTTCATAACTATATCGGAATGTCTCATGCCAGATAAAGCAGCATAATATATGAGAAAAGATACAAAGATAGAATCAGATGGCAAAATTCCACACAAAATTCTAACTTCCCCCTGGTGCAGATCGATTAATCATTCTAGTCTCCACATTTTTCATTATAAAAGAAGGTAGAGTTTTGGGCTAATATAATTTCTTCCATAAAGTTGTTTTATATTTGTGTCACCTTTTGAACATTGCTTTTGTACTTTGGATTTATAACAAGTAAAAAAGACTAAACCTGTGCTAATTCCACAGTATAGCTTCACTGATTTCATTATTGAACAAATCTTGCACAAGTAGGTTATAAACCAGAAATGCAGTGAATTGAACTATACAGCTTATATTTGGATGAGTAGGAGATGACTCCTATAGAAATAACTGTGTTTTTGAAATAAGTATGTTAAATGGTTAAATTTTTATGTTATAAAATATTTCTTCTGCAAATGACTTAAATTAAAAAAAAAGTAAGTGGGCAGATTTTAGTATTATAAAATTATTCTGTTAAAGTACAGAATACATACACAGTACCTTTTCTGCTGTATCATGAGCCTTCTCATGTTATCCAAGATTTTTTTAGGATTTATTTATTTATGCATACAAGAGCTGAGGTGTAGGCCAGAGGTATAGGAGGTTGTGAGGATTCACCAGGGATAGTGTGGGGAGCAGAATAGGTGTACTGACTGAAATAGACTGCTGAGTGGAACAGTCATTGAAGTAGGAGAGGTCTGCTGTGTGGTGTCTCCCTGACCTGGGATTGAACTCTGTGCCGCAGTGGTTGCAGATAGCTTCCTAGTGCTGAGATTTAACCGTTTCACCACCAGGGAGGCACAATTCAATATATTTTTTAAAAGATGCAACACATAGTTGGTTTCAAAACCAAGTATGTTTCTATTATAGAAATCAAGATATTTAACATTTTTATTAAATACTTAATTTGGTTAACTATTTATCTCAGGTACTTACCTTTGATAAATAATGTATCTCTTACTTTGAGCTTATTATTATGACTATTGTGACCTTTTTTTTTTTTTTTGGACTGCTATGTCATGTAGATTTAATGCTTTAAAAATATAGTGTCTTTTCTCATAGCAGGAGTATAATGGACCAGGCGAGAAAATAACAAAAATAATGAACAACCATAGACCAGAGACATTCTGTGGGGGTGGAGTG